ACATACATACATACATACATACATACATACATACATACATACATACAGCATATAGACATATAGGAATAATCATATATATATATATGCATAACATGAGAAACGTGCTTGGAAAGATCAACTTTCCAACCATCGTTTGATCAAAAGAAACATGTCGGTTCGGTTCTTTTGGTATTTAGAAACCATCGGTTGCCCAAACGGAAGACCGTAGACACTTCTCGCCGGGTCACCCACCGCCCCGCGGTGGGTTCCGCACCCGGACCGCTCCCGTCGCAGGCACCCGATTCCGCACCACACACGCAAAAGCAGATGGAGGCGGTCTATAGCAAGGGGCCACTCGCAGACGTGGATGGACGGTTTTGACATGGTTGGACCAACTGTGACTGGCTTGCCCCTTATTTCGTCCATGCTGGGCTCGCAGCCATGGTTGGTTTGGATTATTTAGGACGTCCGCACTCGCACCTGCTGTACTTCTTAGGGGTTCCCCAAAAACCAGCCCAAACCATGGAGCCGAAACATCAAAATGCATGTGCACAAGTTTGCACCAATGGTGCACCTTCCAAGTGGCTTACAGAAGGCACATCAAAGCACATCAAGTGGCTGCTGATGTTCATTGGGGGATACTTTGGTGATGCAGCATGCTATATATATATATATCAACCACTTCAGGGTGTAAGAGGCAACCCCTTGAAATCATGTAACACGGTGAGTCCTTTTTTAGAAATGAGCCTTTTTTCCCACTTCTAATGGCTGCCCAATGGAGACCTATAAGTAGGGTAGGGTAGTCTATTGGACACCCATTTGATGATCCCGGCTGGAGCTGCTTCAACATATCTCCAACCAAGGAGCACTGTTTCATAGATGCTCATCGCGAGAGAGAGAGAGAGAGAGAGCCGGCTTTCCCGCAACGGGCGAGACAGCACGCGAAAACGTTGAGGAATCAGGCTCTGGAAGCGGCAAAGCAAGGGCTGGTGGCTGCCACCTTCGAGCCCACCTTGTGGCATAAGCATCGTGGCGCTTTCAATATCGTTCGTTGGTGCGGCACCATTGATCCAGTTTACGTATGTTACTTCAGGGACGTAAAACTTGTAAATAGATCATGGCCATATATGTGTTACTGTTTGCTCGGTATGTTTGAAGTTTTTGCGGGCTGGCGACTGGCGAACACCTTGCCGCTGGTGGTTTGGTGCAGTAGTCTACGCCCCACTGTTTCAAACGTCGTTAGATATTAAAAATATGTAAAACGATACCATAAGCATGAGGAAGGACAGATTGGATGACCTGCCAATGGTACAAACAAGGCACTCAGGCGATTTGTTATTTATACATGCAGTTATGTCCCTCATGTTTTGATGCACAATTCCTGTAGATGGCACGCAAGCATGCAAACTCTCCACTAGCATGGACACCAAGCCGGATCAAGTTGCAAGGTGCAGACTGCTTTGGATTTGCACTTTCTTGCCTGCTGGAGTGCGGAAACTACTTGGACCAATTGATGGAAAGACCCTGACACCGTTGGGCCACATCCAGCCTTCCAAAGAATTGAAGAACTGCCCATTTTGGTGATGCAATGTCGAGTTGAGGACAGGTGCCAACAACAACAACCACAACAACAGCAACAACAGCAACAAACAATAAACGACACCCAAGCAGAAGGGGAACATTGGTGTTTGTGTGTGTGTGTGTGTTTGTTGTTTTTGTTCTTTGGATGGCTCTGAGAAGCGACTTCCGAGGCCATTTCCTATGGCCGACTTTCAGCGCCTGCTTCATACGGAGGAGAAGGCGGCAGTTTGCCGCGTCGACGCGCGAAGCGCCTACGAACGCGGCCGGTCCGGGCGCGGGCGTTGCGTTCGGGATTGGGCCCGGTGGAAAGCTCGCAGGCGCTCCGGTTGTTGCACGTGCTCTACGCGGGCACTCGTGCGGCGTCGCACCATGGCGGGAGGAGGTCGCACCGTGGTGGGTCGACCGTGGGTGTGTGGAGGTCAAGCTGGTGGAAGTGTGACGGGATTTGGCCTTTCAGGTCAATGAAGTCACATCAAGTCACTAATATGAAGAACTCTGAAGGACAATTTCTTAACAGACATGTGACATGTCCTTCAACAGCGACGGGTCCAAAACGCAGGCCACCTGGAAGCATGTGCAAACCTGGAGGCTGTGAGTCCACAGGAGCCTAGAACTTTGGGAAGACGCTGTTCTATATGGGTCAGCACTTCGAGAGGTGCCTTGTATAAATCCTCCGATATTAATCCATCATGCAGATTCATGATGATTCATGCAGTTCCTATTGAAAGATCCACAGAAATTGCCACTCCACTGTTTGATCCATCCAGATAAAGGTCTCCGACTGTAGGTGTCCCTGCGTCCTTCAGGGATTCTTAAGGGTGGAATCATGTTCACTTAATTCAACTGATGTCCTCTCGGAAGTCTTCCAAAGCCCCCGGAACGTGAGTCCCAAGCAGGTGAGTGTCATGTGAGCCGCTCTGAGCCTCAGCCTCCAGCTTCAGTCCTTGTGAGGTGCCTCTCACCCCAGTCGTCTCGGTCCCCCAGACACGATGCTGCCGGGGCTGGGACTGCCATGTCGGCGGGTCCGCCCCAGACAGACCCCCGACTGACTAACCCACCACCCCCCCCGGGCGTGAAACTCGGCAGTCCGACATGCCAGTCCCAGACAGCGCAGTTCGTTGGCCCAAGGCCCGATTCGCTGGACCCTGATGTGCCCTCCCTGGCCACTGGCTACTGCACTGCTGCCATGACCTCCTTGGAAGCAGCGATCGGCTTGCTGGAGTGGGAGTTGAGGGTGGTGGTTTTGTCCTGGGTAGAAAGGCGGCGGGAGCTGAGGGGACTCCAAGGACCAGTGGAACTGGACGAATCACCAAGCAGATGGGAAGATCAAGAGTCGACGGGGTGCGATCCATGGAGGTAGTCGGGGTGCCCTTGTCACATCTACTCACGTAAGGGTACGAAACACCACCCCGACATGTGACCCCTGGCGCAAGATCAAGGAAGATCAGGTGTTGGAGTGCGTTTTGTTTTCTGGATTTCTGGCCGTGCCATTGTTGCCGTTAGATGTCTAAATCATCTCAGGGAATCATCTACACATTGGGCCCATCTCAGATCTGAATATGTCATCATCTCAACATCCGAGAGAAGCGGACTTGGACTTCGGTGACCGAACCTCTGGGGAGGTGGTTCACCTCCGTGCTCGTTGGATTTCAGGAGAACCACGGGAAGGACTGGGAGGTCTTCAACTTGACCATTGATGCTTCAGAGTATCTCAGCATGGGATCCTCGGAAGACATGGGCCCAGACTGTCTCGCGTGCCAGCGGCGTGCCAGCGGAGACAGTGGCGACACGTGGCCATTGGTTTGTTGTTTGTCTCAGATGTGTCCAATATGAATGCTTCCCATATTTGATGATCGTTTTCCCATCCAGAAGAAACTTATTGAAGACAACTAAGTCCACATCTCATTCATTTGGTAATTGTACGTAGGTAAGGGATAGTCCAAGACCAAAGACATCCAAAGACCAGCTAGGGCCAATCTAGGGTGGTCATCGTGTGAGTGAGTTTGGGAGAACAAAGGCTAGACTCTTGTGAGCAAAGGCTTGGAAGATGGGAGAAATCAGGGTGCAAAAACTCCACTTCCTTGCCCTGCAAGGGGGGTGTAGCTTTTTGGAGGCCTGCTTGTTTGGAGGACTGCAGCGGATCCAAAAGTTATTTTTCTCAGTATGAGGTGGCAGTCAAATGGCAAGCTGTGAGCAACATGTACTTGTTGTGCTAATCGGTATTTGTATGTATTTGTACTGATTGGTATTTGCATATTTCCCGACTTGCACGCGCAGACACTCCATGTATGGCATATTTGCCTGCATTGACCCCTGAAACCACCCCAACTGACCGGCAAATATGGCATACAGGGAGTGTTTGGGTAGTGATCAACTTGCACACGGAAACAACACCTATCATCATGACTCACCCAAGGAGTCAGCGACGGCCCCGTCGTTACCTCGATCGCCAAGTTACGTCTCAGGAGGCTTCCACTCCTCCAAGGACCCAGAAGCAGGCATGGAGACCTCTGGACTTGCAACTTGGAGCTGACCATCATTGAAGAGTTTGTCCCATTATTACCTGTAACAGGGAGGGAACCATCACTAGTTTAGGGAAAGAGCTTTACTAACCATCATCATCTACTGTTACTGTTACTGGTCTATAAGAGGATACTGTATACCCCCAATATCACTGAGTGGTGGCTTCAGATGCTTGTCTCCGACCTTGAGATGATTGAACTGAACCCACTGACTCGTTTCTTTGTGCTCTTTGTGCTCGTTTTCCACCAACCAGATAAGAACATGGGGATGTCCACATCACTCAGGTTGTCCTGCTTTGGCGATCAGGTGATTTGTTTCATTTCCCTAGGGTTGAATATGGTCAAATCCCCTTCTGGGGAATTTTTAAAACTTGTTCAAGGTTCCTGGACAGCAAATCCAAGTTGCGGTAGATGACATGATGAGCGTGGTACACTGGGTTTTGCTATGAATTCCATTGCTGAAGGCGTTTCATCGTGGGGTGTGAGCAGTTATTGGCCAAGACTCTCATCCGTTTTGCAAGTGGCAACAATATTTGCGAAGAACCCTCATAGCTCTTGGAACCTCTGACAAAGACTTGCACTCTTCACTGTTCCGATTGTGTGATGGTCTTCCAGGGTAGAATAGAAGAGATGGCAAAGAGCAGGGCTTGTGACATGCGAGGTCCGAAAGTGACTATTCTCCCTTCCAGGATTTCAGCATCTATTGCATGTTGGTATGCGATTCCCATATCAGCAAGTCCAAATCCAAAGATGTTACAAACATCATAGATTCTTAGATAAAAGATCCCCGTCCGAGAAAGGCCTATAAAATGGGAGGCCCTAGGGCCCAAAATCAGGGGGTCATTCTATAGAGAGGTTTTTTTTTGAGCCTGGACAGGCCCTACGCATTTTATAGAAAGGCAAAAATAGAGGCATGATTGTTGAGATGTTGCTGCAAGACCCTGTCGTTTTATATATAGATGTACCTTTGCATTTTGCTTCCACTTGTTTTTTGGCTGATTGCATTCTATAGAGACTCACTTCGGACAGAAAAACATTTTATAGAGGGGATGGTTTGGTAGAATATGACATAGTAAACATATGCCAACCAAGAAGCATTTGGCTCACCGGATGAGCGAGTTTCTCTATGGAATGGTCTGCCCAGCCCCAGGGTGTAGGATTTTCAATCTCGACAACGTGCTCTCTATAAAATGATTTCCAGGGGTCGTGATGGAATCTATTGCTGCCTAGCTTGGCCTGGGCAGAACATTCTATAGAGGTCATTGCTTGGACACTGATTTCGGATGTTGTTTTACTTTTTCCTCAAAGACCCTCCCATTCTATATAGCACCCCTTTTATGAGCACCAGGCATTCTATAGAGATTTTTCAGAGGCCCAGCGTTTTATATCTATAGAATCCCTTGTCCAAGCCCTCCTGGGTTATTCTTACCGGGATGATAAAAGTGACAGTGTATTCAGGGGCTGTTTTGCTTCTTCAATTGGCGCACCTACGAAGTCCTTGAGCCCAATCGATGGGGTGATTTTGTCAGCGGCCGGACTGCAGGCCGTCCTGCCCCACTAGGATTCAGCGAGTTTCCCATTGACACCAAGGGAATTCCCAATGCGTATTTTCTCCCCCTCCCCCTCCTCAAAGAAACGCATCCATGTCGGACTCTATCCATGTGCGGCGCTCGGCGTTACGGTTCGCCGAGCGCCACGGTTCCGTGACTCCGGTGGAGAGTGGCTCCGTGTATCCGACCGGCACCCGAGGATGCGGCACTCCAACTGTTTGCGGTGCAGCGGGCAGATCAGAAGCTCAGGGAAAAGCTGGAACATCATTTCCGCAGGCGGTCGGGGGGGGGGTTTGGGGCGCATGTGGCAGGTTAGGAGTTTCTTTCGTAGCCAATGCTGCACGGTGAAGTCAGTGCACTTCCTATAGCTAGCCATATACATCATCGAAGTGCTTCGGTTGGACCAGCTTGCGCGCGGACGCGTGAGACGCGTGAGAGAACTGCGTCTCCTCGACGTCCAGAGGTTTCGAGAGCAAGAGCCCAATCCAAATGCGGCTTCGTATTCCACCAACGCCACCATGTGACTGAGCTGATGGGGGGCGATCCTGGCGGTGTGGATGCTGTTAGGGCCTTATTAGGGTAAGCCATGCTAAGGCTAAGGTACCACAATGTACCACATGCAATGGAATTGACTCGAACTGACCAGTGTTTCTTTTGTTCCTTCAGGATCTTCAGTGTGGTTTACTGTATGTTCATGGTCGCTGGCCGCTTTCGGAACCAAATGGACTTAGATATAAATGGCTTTGATCCTGGCGGTTGTTTTTGTGTTTTTTCTCCCAGTGTTCAGCCATTCCAAACGTTTGGAGGAACACCTTGCCGCAAGGCCTTGGGAGAGGAATGGGCCCAGGAATTTGTTGGCTCGCCCATTGGCTGAGGTTCTGTCTCCTGCACTTGACAGGGATGATGACTGAACTGGCGGACCGTTTGCGCGTGGCGAGCGCTGCGGAGCAGGTCGTCGTGCACGTTTGACAGAGCAGGTCGTGGAGCAGAGGAAGTCTTTGTGGAGCCGAGCCAGGCCATGACAATGAGTACCCCCTTGGATCACCTGCTCGGCCCAAGGCTGAAAAATAACAATCAGAAGGTCATTTATGGCATGTTTCAACCCCCAGGGCCCCCAGTTGTTTACTCACAAGTCTCTCGCTTGGTTGTTTGCGATACCAGGGTTCGGAAACGGGGCCGATGGCTATTTCCAGTCCAAGGATGAAATCATTGATCATGACCCATGGCTGGGGCCAGCCATGATGGTAGTTGCAACCTACACCCCTGGAACCCCAGTGGCTGAAAATGGATGCCTTCGCTCCTCTCCAGCGCTGGAGTGGGGTCGGATCACTTCTGAAGTCCTTCGACTTGGAGGATTGAGCAAAGCCAGGCGCTGGAAGTCATCCAGCAAGCAGGAAAGAGCATATATATTATGAAGCATCGGCCTGCGCACTGGGAAGGAAAGAGGGTGGAGGATGCAGCGCATCAGCCAATCCTTGTGAGCTGGGTTCACCGCGAAGTGGGACATCTCAGCTCAGCCCTGCGGCCCCCAACCAGAGGAGCTTGCGAACTTGCAAACTTTCGGGGATTTCAGGCTGATGGGTCGCCCGGAATAATGATATGAGTTGACCTTGGTTTTAGACGGCAGCCTGGCTGTGGACAGCCCGTTTCAGCTTGGATGGGGATGGGGACAGGGATCTTGTTATGCTTGCGTTATCCTCATCCATTCAGTTAAGGCATGCCAAGGCATGCCTACAGTATATTAGTATGATTATTATCATTATTATGTGAGCTGCCTTTGCAGCTATTTGGTAATCAATGTGTTTTTAGATAAAGTGACAACAAGTAGGTCCCCGATCAGAAACTGTTTGTTTCGCGTTAATCAATGTTAATCACTGGTTGACGAACGTGGGTGAGAATATGGTCATGGACGTAGAAAACTGACCCATCAGCAGATCCTTAAATGGCCCTTGGCAGCGGCGATGGCATCATAGATATGGATCCGAGAACGGCTTTTTGGCTGCTTCAGATGAGAAGAGCTGCCAGGCAAAGCGGACTTCGCCCACTGCAACGAGGGAGATCATTTCCACGCTACATCCCCTGGCACATTGTCGAGCTTCCATGTCCGGGCAGCTGGGCGGCTCGCCATTCCAGACCATCCATGGATAGAAGATGATAGAAGACCAGAAGCAATGGCCTCTAACCTACTAGCGATAGCCTCTAACCTACTAGCGATAGCCTCTAACTTACTAGCGATGGCCTCTAACCTACTAGCGATAGCCTCTAACTCACAAGCCTCTACTTACTAGCGATGGCCTCCAACCTACTAGCGATGGCCTCTAACTTACTAGCGATGGCCTCTAACTTACTAGCGATGGCCTCTAACTTACTAGCGATGGCCTC